CGGGTGCCGAGGCGCCGCGGTGCCCGCAGCGTCCCTTCCTCCGAGCATGCCGGCGCGGTCCCCCCATGCCAGGTCCCCATGCCCCATCCCCTTGGGGCACACGTGCTGGGACCACCTCGATGTCTACCTCCGGCCTCGCTGGCCACCGACCCCCCTCCAGCACAGCCTGCCAACCACCCCGAGCTGTGCGGTTCCACCGTAACATGGACCAACGCTCATTAAGCGCGAGGCAGAGACCACCAAATATGTCAAAACACACTTAAAAATTATTGTTTCATACCATACATTTGAGTCTCTTGAACACCGGCCAGTGTTTCTCTCTCTCCGCGATGGGGCCTATCTGCTGTCACCGACGCTTCACATATATGTACAGCCTGCTTGCTTTGTCTTTTTTTTTTCTCCCCCTTCTTTCTTTAAATGAAAAATACAAACAATTGATGGAAAATGTACATTTGTTCCATATGGGATGGTCGGAGCGTGGAGAAGAGCCAGGAGAGTCATTTTTAGGCAGACTCCTCTCTCCAGTGGATGGCTGGAAGGCTTCCCAGCATGGCCCCGCGCGGCCTGGCCTGACTCTCCTGACAGCCTCAGACAGTCTGTGACGCTCCCGCGCTGGCAGGGGGGACGTGATTCAGTTCCCTGCCGGGCTCAACCCCCCTGGGGCTGCTGAGCACAGGAGGAGGGAGAAGTCTCCACCGAGACCCCTGCAACGTCACAGAAGGGCTGAGCTCAGCTGTGCGGGAGGCGGTGGGGAGACATACTTTGTGTGGGAAGTCGAGTTAGGCGGCTTGGGTTGGGTTGGGTAGGCTAGGTTGAGTTGGTTGGGGTGTGTTGGGGTTGGGTGGGGTCTGTGTTGGGTAAGGTGGGTTAGGTTGTGCTGATTAGGCTGGGCTGGGTTGTTTTCGGTTGGGTTGGGTTGCCTTTGGTTGGGTTGGGTTGCGTTGCCTTTGGTTGGGTTGGGTTGCCTTTGGTTGGGTTGGGTTGCCTTTGGTTGGGTTGGGTTGCCTTTGGTTGGGTTGGCTTATTTTGGGTTGGGGTGGCCGAGTTGGGTTATATTGGATTGTGCTGGGCTGGGTTGGGTTGGGCTGCCTTGTGTTGGTTGTGTTGGCTGTGTTGGGTTATGTTGTGTTGTATCGGTTGCATAGGTTGTATTGGGTTGTGTTACATTGAGATGGGTTGTATCAGGTTGGGTTAGGTGACGGCTGGAGAGCCCTTCCCACCCTTCCATGACCCTTTGGCCCCTGGGTGCACCACAGCTTTGCTGGCTCAGCTCAGCAGAGGAGCACAAAGTGGCTCTGATGGATGTCAGTGGGGCTCAGCTCGGCTGAGAGCCAGCAGGGAGAACAAGCCCCCTGACTCCCCCATGACTTGTGCAATGAGGACCAAGCCTGCCTCTGTTGTGGTCCAAAGGGGACCCCAGCATGGTGTTGGGTGAGTGGATGGGGGGGGTGGGAGGGGACCCCAGCATGGTGTTGGGTGAGTGGATGGGTGGTGTAGGGCCGGGGGTCGTGGGGCCAGGGGCTGGCGGTGGCCCCAAGGCAGCGGGAGGAAGGCTGGGGGCAATGCCGGGAGCTGGGGGACCACAGCCAGAGCTCCACCAGTGATGGAGAGGCTGAACTTCGCAGCAAGGGAAGTGCTGAAAAAATGAGTTTCAGGCTGCGCAGACTTTCCATTAAGGCACATTAAGGACTCCTTGCTGGCTTAATTTCTTTCTCTTCCACAAAACCTTTAATATTTACGATATTGGCCCCAACTCCCTGCAGGCAGCCGTGCCGAGGGGGGAGAGCATCCACCACCACCCTGTGCTCCTCTGCCGCCCGGCCGGCCGCTCCGGGCATGGCCGCGGAGGAAACGGTGCCTTTCCTGTCCCGCAAGGAGCACTGAGATGTTCTCACGTTTCCTTTCCCAAACTGGGCTGAGAAACAGAAATTTGGGGAAGGTTTGGGAGCTTACGGGCAGGACAAGTTGTTGCAGGAACGTTTGAAACCTTTCGTTGCGCTTCAGCCTTTTCCCTTTGGGGAACCTCTACAGCGTAGAGCGCCTTCACAGCGCTAAATGGTTTGCCTCCCACCTAAAAAAACTGGAAACTTCCTTCCCCCCCACCCCAATGCTCTTTTTCTTGAGTCAGGACATGTTTTGGAGCCTTTTCCCACAAACAGCTTTTGTTTTGATAAATCTTTGTTATTTTTTTTTTGGTGGGAGAGGAGGAAAAAAAAAAAGTCCCCACCGCAGGGACGTGTGGCGATGAGCACCCAAAACACATGGACCGAGGAGCTCTAATTCCCTAGAACATCCCAGCTGGGATGACTTCATCCGCGGGTCGGCGTTCCCTCGCCTCGCCGGGACGGCTCCGGCTGCCTCAGTGGGTCCCGCTCGTCCCAGCTCTGCCCCGGTGTCGGCCTGGGGAGCGGCGAGCACGGAGCTGGGCATGGCCCAGAGCTGGGCATGGCCTGGAGCTGGGCATGGCCCGGAGCTGCCCGGCCGGGCCGGCCAGCACATGCGGTTTTAATATTTGGGTGATGTCATCGAGCGCTCTATAACGCCGTAAAAAAACCAGAGCGTCTATAAACCTGCCCAGCGAACCTCCAGCAGAACACACACACACACACGGGCGTGCACACGGAGACACACACACGGGCACACGCACGTGGACGTGCACACGCACACGTGTGTGCAGATGCACATGGATGCACACGCATGGATACACAGACATGGATACACAGACATGGATACACAGGCATGCACACGGATGCGCACACATGGATGCACACACAGATGCACATGCACACGTGGATACACGTGTGCACTTGCACAGACACAGATGCACACACGCACACAGTTGTATAAATGGATACACACTGATGCACAGATGCAGATACGTGTGCATGCACACAGATGCACACGTGTGTTTACACACTTGCACACACACTGAGCGGCATGGACATGGCTACGCAGGGATGTGCACACACACACACACGGATTCACACATGGCTGCACACACACACGGATGTGCACACGGATGCACACACACGGATGCACACACACGGATGCACACACACTCAGATGCACACATGGATGCACAGACACGGATGCACACACGAATGCACACACAGCTGCACACACACAGCTGCACATATAGATGCACACACATACATGGATGCACACACAGCCACACATGCACACACACACGCATTCTCTTTGTGCCCCCGACCCTCTCCTGGCGTGCAGCACGGGGACAGCCGTGGTGGACGGCACGGGACGGGCAGGGCGAGTGTGCACGGTGCACTCACACGCGTCACGGCGCGTGGGGACCCCTGCGGAAGCAGTCCCGGTGCGTGGGGCAGGGAGGCTGGGGGGGACCCGCTGCCCCACATCCCCAGGGGACGCGGAGCAGATGCCACCAGCCCCCACAGCTGTGCCCCTCTCCCTGCCCCACAGCCCCCCGGGAAGGCGGCAGGATGGCCC